GACAAAAGTGAAAATATCCTTTCTCACTTACAGTCAGTCATTCTTCAAATTCAGATTACGTTGTCCTTTTCTCAATTTGATCTCATTATTTCTAGCTATATCCCATTTGTATTTTTAAATAATTACTCTTGCCCCTTGGTGTTTACTTTCTCATTGCTTTTGACAGATATATCTTCTCCCTCTCCCCCCACTTAATTGTTGGTTAGTCAAGCTGTACATATTTAATCTTTCCAAGTTTTTCTTATGCATCATCCCTTTCAACCCATTAAGCCTCTCTTTGCTCTGAGCTCCTTTCAGGGTATCAAAGTACAAAAGTTGGAGCTGATTGCACTTTTCAATTGTTCTCCAGTTCAAATTTGAAAGAATCTTTGTTGTCTTGCAAAGAAATGACAGCTCAGTTCTTTGTTTATGCTAAGGTCCAGTTTCTACACTGTGACAATACAAAATATCTTCCTAGAGATGCTGCCGATTTCCTTGCTGCTACTGAAAAATAGCCTAAGAGCACCAAGGCACTGGTTGATTTTTATCAACTTAATTTACACATAATCCAAACTTAAAAATTCAAATTTTCATGAGTCTTTTTTGTTGTGCTATAGATATATCTGTGTATGGAGGGGTTAATCATTAAAGGGCCAGAGGCAATGGAAATATGTTCCTGCTGTTGCTTGAGAACTGGCCACATTTGAAAGGACATGGTAAGACTAAATGATGTGAGATTATGAGGATAAAGTGTCATGACTTGGCCTGGAAATCAGTGTTAATCTCCAGTCATGAGCTGAAAAAAGGATTCTAACACAGAGATTACAACAGAAAACACAGACTATACCCGTACAGCTTGTGATGGGAGAGATTTTTGAAAATATCAAAATTATCGGATGGGCAACATTTGCCAACACCACAAGGTCTGTAAATTTTTTCTGGTGCTGTTTTTACAAATAAATGGCCTTCACATGAAAAATCTGAATTAAATTGGTAGGGTATATCTGAATTGCTATCTGCTGGTAAGGTTTATCTGAAACCACAGCTTTATTGGCAGGTGATATTTCAGATCAGAAACAGATGAGCAGCTCTTGCTGTTTCTCTGACGCCACTGGCTTCTTATGCAATCTAAATAAATTACTGAGAATGGCTCTGTAAATCAGGGATTTGTATTGACCAGCCTCAGAAAAAATAACGTGTGAAAGACCCAAGCTGGGAAGAAGATGGGAGATGAATTTTCTTGCTAAATCAAACAAATGAAACAAATAAAAAAAAATCTCAACAAGGTAAATGCGTTTGTAACTAACCACGGAGAGTATGTATTTTATCCATTTTCCTGTGATTGTAGGCATATTTCAATTTCTAAAGACATCTCTCATGTTTACTAGAGTAGCTTGATTTCAAAGAGGGAAAAGGATCCCAAATCCTGAAACTATACATATGGGTAGAAATATAATGTGCTTAAATCTGTATATAGATTGATAAAAATTTACATTAATATAAACAAAAATATTTATAGCAGCATATTTCCTTCTGTTGTTACATGAACATCTTGATGAAGGCTTTAGCCAAATGTCTGTTTGCAGACTCTGATACACTACCATCATTACTGTTTAATGTTTAAAAAAAGTCATTAAAATTACTGTATTCAGATTCAAACCAGGTCTAAACATTCAATTTTAGTCCAAAATATTTAGGTGGCCTCTAAATGCATAAATAGAAATGAGAAGGGAAAACATGAGGAACACTATCCAATGCATTCATAAAATCTCTTTTAAATAAGTTGCTTCTCTGAAAATAAGAATATAAATTATATTTCCTGGATGTACCTTATCAAATATACTCACTTGCCTGTGGATCTTAGTTTTTTGAGATGGCTTAATTCTGAATCTTTTCTCAATTTCTTTTTAAAATATTTCTAGAACTCTGGTTTAATTTCCACTTGGCTCTCTTGGCTCACTAACTCCTTAAGATTTCTACTTCTGACAGATTACAAAGGTATCATTAAGTAATGCAAGTTCATGTCCTATTAGTAGACAATCCTGTTGACCTTCATTTCCCCATCTTGCATCCCATTTTAATGCTGGCAGTCTCATTTTTACTTTATCTAGGCTTTTAGCTCTGCACTTCTAAAACAAGCACAGGGAACCATGAGGCTTTGGTGCCCTGGTCTCACCTTAGATCTGTGGCTTTTCTACGCAAGCTAAAGGGTAATGACTGTAAATGGTTTTAGTCTCCTATTATTTATATTTACATGGTAAAGTTTTAGTGGAAATTACTCCTTCCTTTCTGAAAAGGCTGTAACGTGTAAAGGCATAGGGAGTTTGTGCTCTCATTTTCACTAACTGCTGAGTCAAGACATGAGAATTATCTTTTAAGTCTCACCATTCTTTAGTCTTATCACCTGGTCCATTCCCTGGCTTTGATATTCAAGTTCCAGTGTGGAATTAATACGGTCACACATACATTAACCTGTGATGGTAATACCTGATGGCAGTGGTGAGCTGAACTTTCTCTGTGCTGTTTCTTCTTCTGGTCATAGCTCACTTTGACATGATTTGACTAACCCCTGGCCAGTAATGAGTAAAGCTCTGAAAAAAAAAAAGGTCTGGCAATGGTACTAATCACCCTCTAAATCTCTGTAAAACAAGCTGGTATGAAAAGGACATAGGGAATTTAATGCCAGTGGTTTTGTTTTCTAGGCAGAAGGGTATTAAGCAAGCTTTTGCAAAGTACCTATTGCACTGCCCTTTCATTTTGAGTCAGAGAAGGAAGCAAAGGCATCATCTGTCATGGGGCTGAAAAGCTGCCAGGTATCTCAAAAACTCATCTTTCATCTTCAGCGAGGAAAGCTGAAATTAACACTGCTGATATGAAGGCAGGTATAAAATCATATGAGTTCAAGATGTGGATCTAGATATAGGCATTCACCTTAAAATACAAAAAAAAGGAGGAAAGTAGAACTCTTCAGCTGGGTAAATTTTAGTATTCTATATTTATGAAAAGCAGCATCATAGCTGTAAAGGTCAAGGAAAAAAAAACCCTCCTTGTACTATATTAAAATCTCTCTTTTTAATGTCAAATTCATTTGCATTAAGACAGTTTTAATGGAGATACCTATTTTGCATATTTTGAAACTTTATTCAGCTACACAATATAAACAAGAAGAAGCATTTAAATTTTGATTTAAAGAAAATTGCCTGTAGTATGTCTTAAAGGTTGTAAATAGCCATGAACCATTACCAATTGTTTAGTCAATACCCACACACAAATTTTCCCCTTTTATTATGTACAGCATATCTATTCAAAATGCTTAAATACAAAGTACAGCATTCCACAATAATCTTATTTTGTTTTCTAAACACCATCTCTAAGATACCTTTTAATAACATGTTAGCTTTGCATACCTGGACATTTGTGAAACTCATCTTTCTACTCAGCCTAATTGTATTCCTCTGAATTAAAGTTTTCCATCAAGTGTTTCCCATCTGTTCTATTTGCCTGGAAATATCCATCCTGGAATATGGAGCAGCTTAGTGGGTGCAGAATTTTTACATTCTGTGTGTACCATTCCTGAGCTCCTGAAAACCACTTGAGGACTGAGGCCCAGAAAAAGCAAAACTTTGGTCCCAACCAAGTCTGCATCGTTTCCTTGGTGGCAGAAAAGATATAGCAAGTTTGTTCTTTGCTGTGATTTATATTTGAATAGTCACTTCTATATGACTATATGGAAGTGGGTTTTTCTCATGATACTAAAACTGATCAACTGTGTAACAAGAATTGTGTTATGATCTGGAACAGGCTTTACAAAAGGTGAAGAAAATAATGTTGCTGTGAGGACTGATCTGAGGAATTTTTAATACCTCCTTCAAATGGGACCTTTTTTTCTGTTACCTCTAGCAATTGCTGCATTAACGAAATCCATTTTGAGGCAGACAAATTCATCATAAGTACATTTCTCTGAGGTCTGAACTTCTGCTAAAAAAATGGCCATTGATAGCCTTGGAACACCTGATGTGACAGAACAGTTGTGGAATTATGTGATATAGGATTTGATTTCCATGTTTACTAGACATAACAATGAATAAATATGGGGTTTATTCAATTTCTAAAAATACATTCCTTAAAATACCCCAAAAAAGCTAACAGGTAATCTAGGTAATATAAAGTAATACAAATTAAGATCTTCTACATCTTTACCCCAGAGAAATCTGTAGATTTATATCTTTCAAAGATCTTTCACAATTATCTGAACAATTTATCCTTACTATGCTTTTATAAAACATAAACAATATTAAATGAAATGCTGATTTTTTTTTTCCTTCATTATGAAATACGGTGTGGAGATTAACTCAAAATAATTAAACAACAAATAACATTTTTCTTCAGTGATTTAGTTTTAGCAGAAAAAAATATTTTCTCTAACATAAAATTATTTTCTCTCTAAGATACTGACTTAGTAATTGTGTTCGACTTTGTCAAACACAAGTGGCAAAAGAATAAATTTATATCAGGTATAAAAAACTAATTTTTGTTGCACCAATGAATATCTGCACATTTAGGTATTGAAGATGTGGCTCCAGCCTCTCTAGGTAAGGGTGTATTTGGAGAGAGGCTCTGAAAAAAAATGCTGCAGAAAGGCAATTAAGATCTTCCAGCTTTTTCAGATAATGTGCATCTGCAGCAGGCAGGCTCCAAAGATGTGTCTCTGGACATACAGGAAGAAAGACAGGTTTAATTAGTAACAGAAATGATGAAGTCCTTTGAAAATTTTTGGTGATTAGCTTGTATGGATAAAGTTGTCATTTTTCTTTTGCCTATGGGACACTGGTCTGAAACTGCATCCCTGTGCAGCTTTGCAGAAAGTAAAAAGGCAGCAAAGAGAGAACACTTCTTTTTGCCAACCCACTGTGAATAGAAATAAAAACCCTAGTCAAAGTAAGGTTATTAAGAATGTTATTAAAAATAAATGTAAAAAAAAAAAAGAAAATAAATCAATATGTGTTTTTTGTTATTTCTAGGGATGAGAACGTGGTAACTTATGTCCCAAAGAAGATGGAAGCATCACAGTAAGTGAGATTATTTTATACTTGTTTGATGGTAAAGGACTGACCAGAGAAGAGATATGGAGAAAGCAGTATCATCAGAAGATCCCAGTGTGTATTTTCATAGAGAAATGTGATGTTGACTGTAATTCACTTTAATTATTTGTGACAGCAAGGAAAACTAAAAAGAGGGATATCAGGATCCTATGAAAGAGCGATGTTGATATTACTATATTGTCTTTGGTAGGTACCATAGGGTGGAATTCAGACAACCGCTTCTAAATATCAGGATAATTAGCAATAGGGCAATTGTGACTATTGTTTTGTATTGTATTGCCCTGTAATTGTTCAGAAGGTTTGAACAAGTTGACCTAGAAATCCCCTCAGAAACTAAAAATATGTTTCTGAACTGCTGGATAAGATGAAGTAAAAATCAACAGCGCTTCTGTTCTGCTTCATTTCAAGAAGCTCAGATGTTGAATGTTGCTCTTTGAATGATTTTTTTTTCTCATTGTGGCAAGGAAAAAATCAAACAAAATAATTAAAATTTGATCCAGCCCTTATCTATTTTCTCCTAACTGAGCATAGCTCCTTTTAACCAGTAAATAATCCTTCCTACTCTTGTACCTCTTGCAATTTGCTTTAAATTGATCATTTTACTTGATTGACAAACTAACACACATCTTTTTTTTAGAACTAGCACTGTCCTTCACATATGAAATATAATTATGTGATCGTGTTGGAAACTCCAGGAAAAATGTTAGCCCAAGAGTTAAGCCTGACTGTTAAACAAAACCCAGACTTTCAATATTATAACCTCTGAGCAAAAATTAGCATGCCAGTTCCCCAGGCAATCAAAGCACACACAAAGCACAAAGGATCAGGATTTCATCCCTAGCAGATGTGTTATTGAGAAAAAATGGCCACTTTTGGCTTTGTGATTATTTGCTCAGATGTTTAATCTTCACATGCTAACAGAACTTGAAGAAACTCGCTGCAAAGCTGTTTACACTTGTCTGAAGCCAAGAGCAGGACGTGCACGTCCAGAGCTGGATGGAGCCAGCTGAACACAGAGCCCTGGCAATGGGGCAGCAGCCAGAGGTCAGGCTCAGCACATGGATCTCCTCATGCCAAATGAGCCAGACCTAGCCACAGAGCCTCAGGGCATGTTTGCAGCATGGCACAGGAGATTGGCACTAACCAGCTCCAGCCCTGAGCCATGCTCTTCCAGCTCCACTGCTTCTGGTCCACGCATTGGATTAGCCACAACTCCATCAGTGAGGTGGTGTGGGATGGAAGAGCTCCCTGCAAAACCTGGGCTTCAGAGCAGAAACTCTTCCCTTGAGGTGTGACACTTCTGCAGCCAAATCTGCCTTCAGCTCCCCTTTGGAAACCAGATGTTGGAAGGAATAATTTTCAAGCATATCACATTTCCAAGATAACAACCCTGGTTAATAATACTGTGGTAGCATTAATTAAGTGTCCCATGCTGAGAATCTGCAAGTGATGAAAGGACTGGGTTTGGCACTGGTGGGCATCTGCCAGGTTGGAGAGCTTAGGCCAATGCCAGTAGAAAGAACAAGAATACTTGTATGATTTTTTTTTTTTTTTCTTAATAAACCATTTAGACTTACCAGTTCTGGTCATTTCTAGGCTGGGAATTAATTTTCATCTTCCTTGATATATAGCCATGCCCTTAGAGATACGTGCTTCCTTCTCACCTGCCTTTCACTCTGATATAGTCCCAGGTTAGGAGGGTTGGAATGGTTCCTTTATTTAAAAGTTCTTTTATTTTTTTACACATTGGAATGCTTGTGATGTAAACACCAGGAAGGGTTTGTCAGCAGAAGGAGGTTGTTGTAGCCCCACCTCTCAATACAGACACAGTGTGTAGTAGCTTTAGCAAGGAAATCAAAGACAAATCTTGCACAAAAATGCAATCTTGCCTTCTGCACAACAACGACTAATCTGAAACTTTTTAATTATATGAGTTGGTCTCCAGTAACTGTACACTTAAAAATACTGTGGAATAAAAGATGCATCTCAGAGAGCTATGCATTACCTCCACAAATCCTAAAGGTCTGCCTTCAGATTAGGAGACAAGCAGCACAAATCACAGAAATGAGATATGCTTGCAAACATGTAAAGCAATGTAGGTAATAAATACATCCAGCATTTATATATAATTTACTGTTAGGTGATTAAATATCAGTGCAAACATTTCTCAAAGTAACTCCTACATATTTTAGCTTCAATTTATGTTTGATACATGCCAATGTACCTAGCTCTGCATAAAATGTTTGGCTTATTTCTTTATCACACATTGGTCTGCTCACATTTATTTTATTACCTTTATTTCTGATTCACTCCAAAATTACTGAGAGGGGTGGTTCAGGTCCTTCATATCTGGAAGCAGTAGTACATCTTAAAGGCAATTCAGAAATACCAAAATGAATGGCTTCCAGAAGCAGATATAATAACTCAAAGGAAATAGTTAACTATCTGTGCTACCATTGTTTGGTACATTTTCAGCTGTTTCATAAAATTCATAGAAAATTTCTTAGTAACAAATTTTCACATGTAGTCTGCACATTAAAATTTGGACTCAGAATTTGTTGCAATCTTTTCCAAATTGCAGAAAAGATATTCCTGCAAATTGTCTGGACGCCTCAGAGACAGGGGTTATCTTTCCTGGTGATTTTGGTGCATGAATGTGAGTGGTAGAAAGGGCAAGAGAGTATGGACAGAAAAGATCAATGTATAACTCTGGCAAGGGCAAACACCGTGAACTTTAAGAAAGGCAACTTTGTGCAGAAATATCTGTCAAAACCATCTTAAATTTATACAGAAAATGATGTTTGGATCTTAGATCATTACAAATCCAACTGCTGATTGCGGGACATTACATCATGACAACTCAGCTGTTTGATGGAGAATGGGCATCCTTGTGCCTGAGGGTTTATGCCAACAAACTGGGAGTCCAGCCAAGATGACAGACCAGAAAAATGAGGTACCAGCTCTGCAGCATCCATAAGACATCAAGGCAGAATGCCATAGTTTCAAAATATTCCAAATTGTAGATCGAATATTCCAATATTCCAATATGTAGATCAAATTAAGTTTGATCTACGTAAGTGATTTCATGGGATGTCATTTTTTTCCCAGTTAGTGGAAATTTAAAAGAATGATCTCTTCGTTTAAAAGAACAATCTCTTCACGGACATATAATTCCTTTTTATGAAAATTCAAGCTGGAACACTTTGAGCAAGTCCTAGGTATATTTTTTACCTAACAGGACTCCCATAAAATTATTTTTAATCCAATAATCTGCTAATGTAATTTCAAATTCATTTTAAAAGTGTAATAGAATCCATCACATTTTAAGAAGAAAGGAAAATTCCTTTTGCTATCCAAAGGCGGAATTTAGATAACTTATCATGAAATTTGTTGATAAAAACATCAAAGGGTAAATTCCTCTTCTCTGTCTGCTGCATTCTTTTCTCATCTCCATCAAAAGAGGGAACAGATTTAGGGTTTTCTTTAGCTCAATGAGAATTCTAATTAATGATGGCAAATATAGCAATTACTATGCAAACAAATATAGTACAAGCATGTGTAATTGTTATTTTGTTTTGGCAATCATTTATCTTTCCCCAAATTTAAAGCCTTGCACAGTTAATGAATGGCTTTAATTTAAATTCTGTAATTCCCCATTCTATATATTGTTCATTAATTTCAGTGAACACTAGATGAGAGAATATTACTATCTGCATCTCAAAAAAACCCCAAAAATTCCCTCTATGAGAAAAGTAGTTCCTTATGGAAACTACATATTGCAATATCAGTGTTTTTTTTTAGTTTGGTGAAATAATAAATAGTATGAAATAACATGAGTCTGGGAAAAGTCTTGAGAGCATCCATTATTTTCAAAATTAAAACATGAATACACTTCTTAGGTCACACATTGTAATGAAGGAAAGTTTATTTAAAATTTTTAGGGGTGATATAATAATAGAATGTTCCTAAATTATTTTCTTGCTATTTCATTCTAGTAAAAGGACATTGAGAATTACTTTCACCTTTAATAGTTTTCCTGTAAATATGCCTTTTTTTACATTTTTTTTTCTTATGCACACACACACAGAGGTTTTCATAGATATATATATATATAGGAAAACAAGCAAAGTATGTATATGCTTGTAAATATATGTAAATAATACAAAACCACATGTATGCTTGCAGTTTTTTTGCATATATTTTCAGGATCTTGTGGGTTCTGCCCAGCTGTCTGTCTAAAATGCACCTTCTGCTCTCTACCAAGAGAGAGTGCAGCATTTGCCAGACTTGGGGGGCCTGTGTCTCTGACCTGTCTTATTCCTGCGCACAAAGAAAAGGCAAGAAAAATCAATTTTCTGCAACTGGCTCCTCTTGCAAGTAATTAATATTATGTGATTACATTCTGCTGCACAGAAACAACTGTGTCGCAGATATGATGTGATAGAGCACATTTATAATCAAAGGCTACAGGCAGTATGAACCTAAACCAACAAGATTGTGAACCACTGCTCTGTTTTGACTACCTTCATAAAAAAAAAACCCAAAAAAACCCAAACAAACAAAAACCACAAAACAAAACAAAACAAAAACCAACCAAATGAAAAAAACCCACAAAACTAAACAAAAAAACAAACCAGGGGGAAAAAATTAATCCCTTCTTTATTTTTTTTCCATCTAGCTGCTTTACTGATTTATTTTAAATATTAAGATTAAATTTTTAAAGAAGATACCTTGTTTATTATTTAATTTGTTTTTTTTATGTATGCTCTGCTCCAGATATGTATTGGTTCATAGGACACCCCCAAACACCCTGGAAGTTTGGAGAAGAGCAAGGAAATCTCTCCATTTCAATCTAAACAGTTTTTAAGTAGTAAGTCAGAGATAAACCTCATAATTTCCTGCATATTTCCACCTTATCTGCACCAATGCATTTAAATAAACCTTTATTACAGTACTCTATTTATTAC